AATTTATCGCCGAAGTGAAAGCTCCCTGACCATTTGCAGTTCTGCTTGTATGATGCAGTACGAAGGGTACAAGATACAGTGAGATATTTTACTGGAATTTAACAAATTCACAAAACAAAGTGATCATTGCTGTTCGGTAAGTGTTCATAAATAAGTGTATGAAGTCGTCCCGTAAGTGAGTGCCATTTACGCCTAATCAAGTCTAAAGCTTCGATAAAACGATAACTATCTCGTTGGGCAGATAGATCTGATTCTACCATGGCTACCGTAATGAAATTTCTCAGCCGATATCTACAAGGAGAAATTCAGCCAACAATGAATTTTTACGAAAACTTGGACGGTAACCATGGCAATGCAGTATGTACAATAAGAAAAGAATACTCATAAGCGGCGTCGTCTAAGTCATAAGCGTAAAATGAGGAAGAAATGTTTTCAAAGACCATTTAAAAAGACACAAAGAAACGTCAAAAAGACAAGTGTTGCGTCGGCACATTGGTAGTGGAAACCCCTTCTGTCACGATAGTTGTCCTTAACATTGACAAGAACTTATTTATGATTCGATAGGACAACCGCCAGTATAATTGCGGCCACAATGAGGAGTAGTATTAAAATGACGACACAAAGGGCGACCATGATCTGGAAAAAACTTATTGGGTACAGCAATACTTGCTTCATTTTGATTATGCTTTTTTAAGTAGGAAGCAAATAGTGTTCGTTATATGCACTGAACGAATTAAAATTCTAAAAAATCGCCTAAATAAAAGTCATACTGAATTGGAATGAATAAATCTCCCCTCGGTTACCGCTTAAAAATCTTCGCTTATGCTCATTAAATCGTTCCTCTTATTAAAAACTATACTAAACATACAGATGTTTATAGGTGCTATAATTATTTTTGAAACATACATCATACAGATACCAGTAACATAAGAAATGTACTGAAAAAATAGTTAATTTTTTACAATGAAATTTTTGCTATTTATTCTTCATTTTCCTTTCTTCAACGTAAACAAATATCTTAATATGGAAGTCATACCATAAGTAAAAATGAAGTTGCGGTTTCTTCTACAGCATA